AGCGTCGGTTGTGTTTATGTCTCTTGACTCAATCCCAATGAGAAAACAAGGGAGTTCTTGGGTCCAAAAATATCCTGAAATCACTCAGAAGTCAAGACAGGCAATTTTGATTTTGCGTATTAGGCTTCCTGAATTGTTACTGCCAATAGCACTGACTAGTAAAAGAGTCCCAAGGGATCCTGGCTGATTAGTTTCAGAAACTGGCCATCATTTCCTCCAATCAATGGCGCTAAGTTGGAAAGAACTCAGTGAGACACTAAATCATAGCAATGTAGCAATTTATTTTTAGCAAACGGTACCAGACATTAACACAGCTGTATTCTTTCTCCCAATAGTGGTAAGATTATAGAGAGAAGTGTATGAGAACCGTTGCTCAGGAAAGGAATGTCTTCTCCTGTGAAAAGCGTCCTCTGCTTTCATTTTTTGAGTTAGGGGGTTAGGGGTTAAGTGGGTGGGCAGGGGGGCGGGAGGGGTTGTTCCTTAAGAAAATGTCATGGAGTTATAGAAACTAAGGGCTGGAAGGGACCTGGAAAGATCATCTAGTGCAACCCCCCTGTTCTGGGTAGGAATACTGCTGAGATCAAAGGATCCCAGCAAGGTGTCTGTCCAGTCTCCTCTTGAAGACTTCCAAGATTGGGGACTGCACCACCTCCTTGGGAAGTCGATTCCAGGTTCTGGTCACCTTTACCATAAAGGAGTGCTTCCTTGCATCCAACCTGAACCCATCCTCTAACAGTTTATGGTCATGGCCGCTTGTCCTCCCCCGGGGTGCCCTAGTGAAGAGTTTTTCTCCTGACTCCTGATATTCACCCCTTACATACTTATAGGTGGCCACCAAGTCCCCCACAGTCTTCTCTTCCCCAGGCTGAACAGTCCCAGATCCCTTAGTCTTTCTTCCACGGTAGTGCAATCCATAATGTTTTATTTAACAAAAAATGCTATTTTCCATAACAAAGAGGTTTAGAAATTCAGAAAAAAAATACTAGATCTATTGATGAGGCAGCCACTGTCTCTGCACTGTTTCAGCTGATCCTTTAGTTCAGACTTATGAGTGGAGAAGCAGAATCCCAGGAGGTAGTTCTTTGAGCTGGTAGCTAATTTAGTGTTGATACACCAGTAAAACCTACACACATTTTTTCCCCCTTTGTTAAGGAACAAATTCAGACCCACCTGCAGACTCTGAAGGGAGAGCGAGAGAAGCTCAAAGAGTTTCAAGTGCGTGCCTTTGTGCAGGTGTAAAGGACAATCCTGGATTAAACCCTGTCTGCATTCACATAGAAATATGGGCACACAATTGCTGTATACACACAAAGATACAAGGAACACACACACATGTGTATGCACAGACACATGGAGAAAAAGGCTGCCTGTATGCAATCACACACATACAGTATTATATATAAAGAAACACATCCAACATTTTTGGATATGTTTCTTTATATATAATAGTGTATGTGTGTGATTGCATACAGGCAGCCTTTTTCTCCATGTGTCTGTGCATACACATGTGTGTGTGTTCCTTGTATCTTTGTGTGTATACAGCAATTGTGTGCCCATATTTCTATGTGAATGCATACAGGGTTTAATCCAGGATTGTCCTTTACATGTGCACAAAGGGATAAGAACACATTTACTCCTCTTTCTGGGCTACCCACATCACTGAGTACAGTGCCCCCCTGCATGAAGTGCCCTTACTGTTGGGATTCTCTTCTTACTCCCATGCAACTGGGCAGGGAGGCAACACAGCCTGGCTTCCAGCCTTTAAATAGGCTGACCAGCATAGCTGAGTCAGCAAAGAAAATCATGTCTGGCTCAGATTCCTCCTCACCATAGGAAGCAGAGATCAAACTGTGACTCTCTTATTCAGGGCAGAATGTGAAGGAATGGTGCAGCCACTAATAAGGGTTAGAGCCTACATTTCAATCTCTGCTTGCAATTCTGCACTTCATCTGTGTGCGTGCTTATATTTGTGCACATTATGTGTGTGTGTATGTGTGCTCGCAGTGCCTGTACAGATACCTTTCTACAGATCTTTGGAGTTTTATGTACTATTTTTGTGTGCTCCCACTATGTTTTGTGTATGTACACATGTACTATTTGTGTGTGTTCATGTATACACTGTCTCTGTGTATAAGCTTACTATGTGGAGGTACACAAGCTGTTTGAGCTTGTATACTCTGCATATTTGTATACACATGGCGGTGTGTGTGCACACATTTTCTCCTCTGTCTGGGCTACCCACATCACTGAGTACAGTGCCCCCCTGCATGAAGTGCCCCTACTGTTGGGGTTCTGTACTTACTCCCATGCATCTGGGCACGGAGGCAACACAGCCTGGCTTCCAGCCTTTAAATAGGCTGACCAGCATAGCTGAGTCAGCAAAGAAAATCATGTCTGGCTCAGATTCCTCCCCACCATAGGAAGCAGAGATTAAACTGTGACTCTCTTATTTGTGGCAGAATGTGAAGGGCTGGTCCAGCCACTAATAAGGGTTAGAGCCTACATTTCAATCTCTGCTTGCAATTCTGCACTTCATCTGTGTGCGTGCTTATATTTGTGCACATTATGTGTGTGTGTATGTGTGCTCGCAGTGCCTGTACAGATACCTTTCTACAGATCTTTGGAGTTTTATGTATCATTCTTGTGTGCTCCCACTATGTTGTGTGTGTGTACATGTGTACTATTTGTGTGTGTATCCATGTATCCACTGTCTCTTTTATAACCTCACTATGTGGAGGTACACAAGCTGTTTGAGCTTGTGTACTCTGCATATTTGTATACACATGGGGGGGGTGCATGCGTGTGTGCGTACAGTGTTCTGCGTGTGTTACTGAGACCAAGCCTATGCTGCAGTTAGGAAGTTTGGCTATGACCTTAACAAGCTCAGGTAATGAGAGCAGTGAAGGTGTGGCAACAAACCAGCTTTAGCTTGTGTGTCCAGGCTTGCCTAAGACCCTGGCTGTGTAGCTGGGTGGTTATCTTCTGGTTACAGGGTAGACTGTGTGTGTGTGTGTGTGTGTGTGTGTGTGGATTCCCCTCTGCCCTCATAGCCCCCTGCCCCTTTCCCCGCTGGAGGGGCAGGCAACCCTTCCCTCCTCCCCCACCCCATCACAGTTGCAGCCCCAAATGCCCTGCCCCAACCAAATGGCCAGGATTTTGCTGTGCTCCCGGGTGGGAGCAGGGGGATGCGATCGAGCCAGCACAGAGCTCCACATGGGCCTGCTGCCTCCGCAGCTTCAGGCAGGTCCACATGTGCTCTCCGCTGCCTCCAGTCGCCCTTCCCCTGCTCTCATCCCTGGAGCAAAGGGAAATCCTGGACAACCCTTCCAGATAGCAATCAAAGAGTTAAAAAGAGCAAGGACATGTCCAGGGAAACCCAGACATATGGTAACCCTATCTCGGCTGCTCATGTGCACTTGAGCAAAAGCTGTAGGGACAGACAGACACATTAAGCCCTTTGTTATATTAGACTATGGAAGAAACGGCCACGAGGAGAATGCAGTGATTAGGTGGTCTGTTGTTTGCGGGGAGGGGGGTGTTGGTTTGCTTTGTTTGTCTGTTTGTTTTGTTTAGAGAGAGAAAAACCAGTAGTCTGCTGATGATGGTTGGTTTTTATGTTCACTTCCTCAGATTTCTACTCTGAATGGTGGTAGGAAACCATCACATCTGCTGGGTTTTATTTTCCTGGAAACATGGCCTGCCCTGTGTGGCTTGCCAAGCTGATTTTGCTGAACCAAGGGTTATGTGACATTTGGGGGGGGCAGAGGAGTAAGGAGACTGAAGCTATTGGCAAATCCAGCCTGAGCAGACTGCAAAATGAGGCAAGACTTCTTTGGGATGATGAATTCCAACAGAGCCGTGATCCCAGGGAATGCAGCAGAAATTGTGTGAACTCTTTCTTTGCATGTCTGTCTTAACGAGGGGACACCTTCATCTCTTGTGGTGTCTTCTTGTGGGAACAGGGTCCTTAATTCCTTCCTAGGGGAAACCTCTGTCTTGCTATCAGTTTAATCAGGGGATTCTTCTGGACCAAACATTGTTCAAAGCCTGCTTTTTGTGCATCTTTTCTCGGTATGCCCTCTTTGCTAGATTTGAGAAGAGAAGCTATGTTATTGCCTGAGAAAGGGCCGTACAAACAGCTACAAGCTGTTGTGTTACAACTAAAGAGCCAAAATGGTCTGGCTGTAGCACTCTGGTTGCACTGCTTCCTCAGACTGAGCTCAGATAAAATTACCTCCTCTCTTTAGCTCGGCAATAGGGCTGTGTGAAATTTCGCCACCCGTTTTGTTTCAACGCTGTTTCAACCTTAAAACAGGGAGGCTCGAAACAGGTTTGAAACAAAACAGGGCAGGTCGAAACAGTTAGAAAAAATTGAATCGTTTTGAGTTTTGACTAGGAAGCTGGGCTTTACTTTCTCTTTCCCGGAAGCCATTAAAGGTAAGTAAGGTGAGGGAGCGAGGGAAGGTGGGGAGGGGAAAGGAGTGCTCTCATTATTGACACACGTAGCTGGCTGGTGACTCTCACCTTTCCCCGAGGTCCCTTCCAACCCCAGTCCCTTCCAACCTGGGGGAGGGACAGAAAACTGCATAAAACGCAGGATTTTTGAACTGCCTTGCTTTCTGCTTTTGGGGTCACTTACTGAGCTCTGTCTGTTCTAGCAGCTCACCGTCAGACCGCTACGGGTAGGAGCATGGATTTTTTTTTTAAAGGATTCCCTGCTCACCACAGCTAGCAGCACCAGACCAGCAGCCTACTCCACCCCTCTGTCCCTTCCCATGCTGAGCCTTCCAGTGCCAGAAGAAGAGCTGGTGCTGGATCTTAGTGCCCTAGCAAGGGAAGTTCTGGGGAAGGAGGGGAATCAGCTGAGTTTGTGCTTGACACCCCTCAAGTTTCCCTTCAAGCCAGGTATCCTGCCCCAGAAGGCACTTTGGAGGATGTTGATGTACAGGTGGAGGCAAGCAGCTCAGCTGAGTGTGCTCCTCCTCTTGCTGTGCCTCTGCCTGCTGAGGAGGGGGAAAGTGCAGCAGCATCCATACATGCAGCATCCTCCCACACCCCAGAAGCGAGTGGGTAGTGTGGTCTGGGATCACTTTGAACTGGCAGATGATCACACGTATGCTATCTGCCTGCAATGCCAAGCCACAACCAGCTGGGGAAGGGAACAAAACATATGAGCACCATGGGGATGCTGATGCATCTCCACAGGCGCCACCCCCTTGCCTTTGTTCCTCTTCAGCCTCGCTCCAGTGGGAGCGTGCCAAAAGGGAAGGCCCCCACTCACTCCAAAGCTCCCGTCCCCCAAAAGCAGCGGCAGGCCATGCTGGAACAGTGGGGGAAAGGTGGACAGAAAGTGGGGCACATTGCAAGGCTGAGTGAGCTCACCCAGAGCATTGGGGAGATGCTTGCTGTCAATGGCCAGGCCTTCTCCTTCATTGATTGGCCAGATTTTGGGCATCTCATGGCACTTGCAGTCCCATCACACCAAGTGCCCGCATGCACCAACTTCAGTAGGAAGGTGGTCCCATCTGTGTATGAAGCATGCGTGGGATACTTGAGGGAGGAGCTGTACAAGACAGGTCCGTAGGTGGCCTTACACTTCAGTTTGGATATCTGGAGCAGCTGTGGTGGAGATCATGCCTACCTCTCCCTCACAGGGCACTGGTGTGACCAGTCAGGCTGTTGGTGGGCTCTCCTTCAAGTTGAGGTGATTCATAGATTCATAGATTCATAGAT